TGAATATCCTATACAATCCAACCGGCTGCAGTACAACGAGTTTCATCCGTCCTCATCTGGTGAGAACGACCAATCCAACCGGCTGCAGTACAACGAGTTTCATCCGTTAACCGGCTGCAGTACAACGAGTTTCATTCGTCCTCATCTGGTGAGATCGACCAACGAATCTCTTCTTCATGCACTTTCATACGAAATGAAGGTCCCTCTAACAATGTTATCTCAGGAGATTCATCGAAACCCAGTTTTTCTTCGTGTCTACATCTTTTGTTTGTTGTGCGACGGACATTGCCAGGGACAGAAGCCATCATTTGCGATGATTCAACAAAAGAACTATAAACTAAGAAAGGCTGTAATCGTGCTTACTACTTATGCTCTTAATGAGTGAACTTGTGCAGATGCTGGTTTCGGGCTCTGACAGTGGATAGAATGATATTTCAGCACGGACTATGGGACGAAGTCTTCGCCGAAAAATCCAGAAATCCCAATTTCAAGGTGCCTGGAGTGGCCAACTTACAAATCCCTTCCATCCACTTAATTGAAAGGAAGTAAAAGTTGCACCAGCTTCAATCTATCAGAGAATTCTTCAAAACCCAGCTTCTACCAATTTTGTGTATTTGCTCGATCTTCAACTATGTCCAACCTAAGCTTCGGTCCGCTGATGATGTCGTGTTCTCGGCGAAAGGCCGGTTCATTTTAAGCCTTCAAAGAGCCGACTTTCCATAGATTTCATCCTCAACTTCTCGATTGTCTCAGACAAAGCGAGCATCGTAGATTCTCCTTTTACATGTGTCCCCGAGACCAAAGGACTCGCCTAGCCTCTATTTGCCCACAAGATCAGGAGTCCTCCTTTCTTACTGCACTACACATATGCACTGACTTCAAAGAGTCAATTTGGCAGATAAATTCCTGTTGGTTAAGACGGTCAGTATGCGTCAAGTTATTAATTAATTAGACCGAATCATCCAGACTAAAACAAAATCTGCCATGGACTGCACGAATTCTCAAGCGAACCATGGGCCGCGAGAACAAACTGCGTAGCACAGGCCAGAAAACGGACACGTTCTGTGTTCTGGCGATGGTCTCGCGGCTGATGCGTAAGCAGGTCGAGAATGTTTGGTAATATCTGAAATTAAACAGAGGGATGAGGTAAAGTTGTGTGCCGACGCTGCTGCTTGGAGCTCATTAGAATGCAAATTAGGCTGTTCTCCAAGTGGAATGAATGAATGAGCATACTCACCGAAATAATGGCAGAAGTCTAGATCTTATAGTTATATTGAATACGCTTCGATACTACCAAGAGACCTTAATTAAGGATCGTATTCACCCTGAGATACACACGGAGATGATTTTATCACTATGCGATGATTCTCATCGTCTGCAACATAAAAGGAAATCGAACTCGACATGGTAGCATATTGAAAATAAACTCTGAACTTTCGGTTCCCGTTTGGGTTATTGATGACAACCAGACAATCCAATCGAGCCTGGATGATAATACTTTTTGTAGGCAATTTTTGGAAGTAAACTTTATTATGCATCCTCCAACAACTTATGCAATCCGGGGTGAATACAGTTCTTGATAATGCATCCTGCATTAAATCGCTTTTATCCTGACCTTTGAATTATCGATGCAACAGGGTTTGAGGTTCATACCCGAGCAGCTGACGAACAGACACGAAGGCCTAATGTCAGGGTTGATGTGTAAAAAGAAGGGATATATAATTGATGGATCAGATATGATGAAGGTTAATTCAACAAGGCAAGAGGAGCCCGGAAGACCCAGTAGACAAGTGTAAAGAGAAGAGGAGCGAAGAAAGGAGACTGCGACCAAACAGAAGGTCATACCATCTTGGTCTTCGTATCTACAAAAAAATGAGAGTCAGAGAGTCTGTTGAGAGTAGACTCAGCGTCACTAGGCTAGCGTCCAAAATAAATAGATTCACTGAAATTAAGGAAGTTACGGAAAGCCATCAAATGACTGACAAAACTTATGTTCTAAGCACCATCGAGTGGATTGGATCAATTCAGAAAATATTTTATCGAATCAATTAGAGAAGAATACAAAACGAATAACAAATCACTTGTTTCGAAGAGCGGCAAAACCTGTGTAGGTACAATTTTAGGTCTAATGGATAGGATGGGGGGATGTACAAAATCCATAATTGAGTAATAAACGGAGAATAATCTCTCTTTCCTATACTTGGTTGACTGGTGAAATAGACACCCCCTATTCTGAAGAGATGGGTTTATACAATCCAACAATTTATGCTTATTTGCTTTTCTCTTATTAGCCTTAAATATAATTCACGCCATCTATTGTGAAAATCTTATTGTAAACAAGTCTCAAATTTGATAATTCCCCTCAGAGAGCTAAATGTAGCATAATTTGTAAACCCGCAACACATGAAAATAAGTTTGATGTGAATATTATTACTCTTATTTATTATTAACCTATTCATGCG